GGGATGGCCCCCCCTCGAAAGCCATTTTTTTTCGCATGGCCCCCCCCAAATCCCACCAGCCCCCCCTACCTTATAAAAAATGAACGGTCCCTTAGCTGAATCAAGTGCTGTTACAGTCAGTGACAACGTCAAAGTTGTTCCATGGATGCCACAGAAGGATATTCTTGGTCATCCCAAGACTCGTCTGTTCATTGGACACGCGGGGCTAAATGGAATGTTTGAAGCCATTTATCACGGAGTACCCATGATTCTCTCGCCATTCTTTGGAGACCAATTTGACAATGCTCGCACCGCAAAGGATGCTGGGTTTGCCGAAGTTCTACCAGTGAAAAAAGCAACGGCTGAAGAATTGGTCAGCGTCATTCACAAAGTTCTTACGGATTCAAGGTTGGTTTTATGAAGAAATTCCTTTTGGGGAGACATTTTGGGTGCGCTTAACTTTCGGCATTGTTCAAATTATAACAGGTGCTAAATTTGTGCATCATCTTTAATTATCTCAGTTTGATAACAGTTACAGACTTTATCTGGGATACCATGATAATAAACAAGAGTAGAACTCTGATTGCATAACCAGAAATAAGGTTTTGAAAAGTTGCAGCTACTTAACATGGCCTGAATGATTGTGACCGTCGGTAAGTTCCAAGAGATCATACTCACGGCTTGTAAACGAAATGCCATATCTTTAATTTCGCTACATCTGATACACAAGTCTTCCGTACCTTCCTTGCCTTAACACTTCGGGCGTGTAGTTCAGAATTATCACAATCTTTGACGAAAGAACCAAGGCGAAAATAGTACATTTACAAACTGCCGAGGTTAGACCTTGTTCGGAACAGCAAAACTCGTGCTTTTTTTGTCACGTGACTCTACATCGAGGGAAAACTGGCGCCTAGTGCGCAATACCGCTGTTCAACTTAATGCGGTAGCATTTACAATGATGTTTGATTTGAGTCCCTGTTTAGTGTATCATGGAGGAGAGACTGAATTGAGCAATAGCCGTTTTTTTTAAAATTTTCATTAGTTACCGCGAGGCCGCTGCCCGGATCTCCAAGTCAATCAAACAGTTGCCTCGTACGCCTGCTCAGGAAGCCGCTGACTGGGTGGAATACACGCAGGCTCAAGGTGGTTTGCAGTACCTCAGACCACGAGGTCTGGATATGCCGTTCTACCAGCTTTACTTTTTAGACATGTTGCTGTTAGTAACGTTGGTAGTGATGACATTCTTTTTTGTTGTGATACGTTTTGAGAAATTCATCAAGAACTCAGTGTTCAACAAGAAAGAAAAGGAAAATTAGGAATACTCAGTTATTTTAGTTTTCTCCTACTTTTCATTGACGATCTATCTGTGTAGATAGTGTGTTGCTGTTAGCAGATTAAACAAAAGGAAGTTATTGAAAAAAAGTGATTTCATCGTGTTACTAGTGAGAATAGAACTAACAAATCAAATGTAATGTCGACAAGCATTTTTTATATTTTAAGATAAGATAATCTACTGAGGTAAATTAAGGTTCATTATTAGGACTCATAAGAGTTGAAAAACTCAGAATTGTAATAAATACGGAGATGGAACATGTAGAAGCCGAAGATGTTCACTCCAACCGACTTGCTGCTTTCAGCAAACTCGAGTGACGTGAAAATATTTCGTTTACCTTTAAACTGATTTATTGAAAACTACAAAATAAAAGCCGAGTCTCTACAGTTAAAACATTTCATAAACGTAAAACATTTCCTAGCGTCATCCTTCACGCGGTCCAAAATCGACGATTGTGGATCACAGCAGGTTTCTGTATATGGGAAAGAAGAAAGAGCTAACGTTGTTGGAAGAAGTATGTTTATTAATGGCAAAAGTATGAAAAGTGGGAGGAGGCTTACTACCGATTTCATAAATAAATGCTCACGTTGTACAAAGTTCAGTTTGTGCAGTAGATTGGAGTGAGCTATTAATCTAATAGAAGGTGACTTTTTTTATTCATTGAAACAGGAAAATCTAAAATATGGAAAGCATGCCTGCCAAAAAGTACGGTTGCCACGGGAGGCTCTTTGAATAATGACTCTGCGTGTCGTATTTCAACTCTGTCTGTAGTGTTTGATATATTACGTAAGCTACTCGAATAGTCCTAATTTGAACGCGATCGGGCGGTAAGTCTCGCAGGAAAACCCGAAGATAAGTGGATCTGTATATGGTGCGAGGTCATGCAGTTAGAGGTCAGTGTGGTTCGGAAGAATTTTTCATATCTTATGTCACAGTTGGGGTTACAAGTTGGATGGATGGATGAATGGATAATAACGATGTAATTGACACAGTTGTGAATTAAGGATTCTTATATACAGTAAACGACATACTAAGAAAGCATGTTAAAGGAGTTTGAGTTTTTTGGTTTTTCGTTTTGATGCAAACATCTCCAAGAATTTGAAGACCATTTGAATGACCTTTATATATCTGAGCGATTGCCCGATGTGGCTAAAGCTCTTTTCTGTCTAAAGCAAACCCAGCAATGTCGCCATAATGCAAACGGCCTAATTACGGGGCTAAATGGCCACCCGTTACCGTCTCAGGGCCGTTTCAAGTACGATAATGGATGACGCTTATTAGCAAATAAATCGTTAGACCAGCAACTTTGAAACTTAATGATGTCCTCGGCCAGACTTCCGTAAACAGCAGTTTTAGAAAGCTAATCGATCAGCTCCTTGTTCGAGTCACCGCCCGAATTGAAATTCAGAAGAGTGTAGCCTGGGCTANCTAATCTATCATCTCCTTATCCAAGTCACCACCCGAGTTAAAACTCAGACGAGTGTAGTCTAGGCTAAACTTAAAACCAATTGAAAAGGGGCGGTAGTGGGAGGTTAGCGATAAATAAAATATATATATAGATAAATAAATGAAACATGCAGCAAGAAGTTCTCTACATTTCGTGATAGGTGAGCTTTCAAGCTGCTGCCATTAGTGAGCAGAAAAAAAAAAACATAGCTGGTTACAGAAATGAAGGGGTTCAAATCTACGAGCATGTTTTTGGGAAATCAGTCAGATATAAGACATTTAGCTTAGAAGAAAAGGAATTTCAGTCAGTTGTTGAAAAGCACTTAAGAATTCCAGGAATGCAGATTGCCACCAGGTACGACACCTGGGTCATTCTCCCCGACAAAAAAGAAGATAAATCTATCAATACATAATGACAATAATAATAATCGAAAAAGTTCCAGGGTCTGAAAGAGGTTCGTTAAGAACTCTCAGGTAGATGCTTCTCAGTAGAAATTTTAAAAGTCCGTTGACTGGCCCAGTTCGTCACGACTACAGATTTATAAATTAAATTCATGCGCCAATTTAAAACACATCACAAGTGAAGGCTTCCTGGGAAGTACATCTAAAGTGAGCAGTTAAGATCACAAACGGCAAAAAAGAAATCCGTAAACGTTAAGACTATATATTCGTGGTCTTTATTGGGTATTTCACTTGAACTGAAACGTGCTAATTACTGAACGAGTCTGAAAATCACTTAACAATCATTGATAGTAGTAGTGTGTGTGGCACTGCTTTGCGAACGAAGATTTGAAGGGCAACGAAAACTAATTTAGGTAGGGCCTTTCCATTAGCTAATTTTAAGAGTATGGAAAAAAGGGTTGTAACGTTTGTCCTATAGGTATGTAAAAGCGGAACATTTTTTTCTCAAAATTCAGCAAGGGTTTGGATTTAGGGCTTAGTTTACTCATATAACACTATGTCGAACGGTCCACTCCTCCCCCCCACGACGTTTTCCCTTTGCAGATGATATACGTATACTTGAAGTGCTCCTGTTCACCACTTATTGTTTCGTTGTCAATCAAACATCGCTCTCATTCAAAGTAAGGGTATCATACTATCCAAAACATACTGCTTAGTTCTAGGTACTTGTTTCCTTAAAGGAGCTCAGTCACGGTATTTTGAGTTATTTTGGCCACGTACAAAATTACCTTTAAATGGTAGGAAACCTGAAAATAACAGTTTAAGAAGATAGAAAAACACCAAAGAGATAACGATAAACCATAAAGGAACAAGGATGGTTCAGGATGGAGAAGATTAACACGGATTACAAACGAAGAACTTGAAAAATTGAGGCTAAACTTTTCAATATGCGCAAACCGTGACTGAGCTCCTTTAAGGTACCGTAATTTCTCGATTAGCCGCCGTGGTCATTTCTTTAAAATGCGACGTTGTAGACCAGGGGCCCGTTTCTCGAAGGTCCCGAAAGTTTTTCGCACCCGGAAAGCCTTAGCAAAATCTCAAACCTTATGATTACAGAGCTGTTTTATTCACACATTCTTAATATGAACTGAGGTTCTCTTCATACAAGAAGTTTCAGGTGTATACACCTCTTTTTTTAGATACAGTGGGAAAAAATGGCTTCACGGGCCCGGAAAGTTTCCGGGGCTTTCGAGAAACGGGCCCCAGGGCCGAGTTTTTCGAAAACCGTTTAACGCTAAACCAGGATTCAGCTGCGGATTAAAAGTCTATCAAGGGCTTATTTTGCTAATGCCTCAAAATTGAAATACAGGAAATTTAAACAGGAAACCATTGCGAAAACTTCTCAAACTAAGGTCAAATTCACCCTAATTCGGGATTACCGTGCTTCAAACAGTCGGGTGGCTTGAATGCGATGTGAATAGACCAATTTCGATATATTAAAATTCAGCCTAAAACAATAGACCTCAGCACGAGGCTCCGGGGAATAACTACGGAGTTTGTGGGGTTTATTCCCCGGACCCTCGTGCTGAGGTCTATTGTTTTAGGCTGAATTTTAATATATTGAAACTGATCTATTCGGGACACACGGTTCATCAAACGAGGGTATTTTTTTCATCATTTTTGTCAACCTATCGTTTGTCATTTTGCCATTTTGATGTATTAAAATACATCAATTTCACTACATAAATGCAACATTTAACTTGTAAAACAAAGTCAGACGCTGACTTTCTTTGTAGTCAATGATATTTAAACGAAGTTGCGGAAAATTCGGCTCTTATTGGTAATAAAACTTTCTTCAGCTTTCAAACACATACCGCCCCCTGGAGCGAGAGAGAGGGAGGGAAGAGAGACCCTGGAAACGAGGTTGGCCCGGCGTTTAATCGAGAAAACACGGTACAACAGCTGTCTAGTGAGATTTTGCTTTGTTTGGGTTTGACTTAAAGCACAATCGACAAAAACACCTTATCACTGAATAAACAGCTACAAATACGACAATCAACAGTACAACAAACACGAATAACACATCCAAAAGGTAAAGCTTGTAAAATGGTAGATCCAGGCTTTTCGGCCTGAGGTGCGGTAAGCCACCTTGAGCCAGTGTGTACTCCACCCAGTCGGCGGATTCTTGTATAGAAGTGCGGGGACGCAATTTGATGGATTTGGAAATTCGAGCTGCGGACTCGCGGTAACTGAAACCAAGCAAAAAGGAAAGGTATTGATTAAATCTTTCTTTAAACAGTCTTTGACACGATGATGCTGACTAGCATCTGCTATAGATGGTATAAGGTACATTTATTAAAACAACATTTTGAGGCAATCATTCAGGGATACAATTTTGCTTTCATTGTATTGATTCAACTTTTAATACACTGCTGACAGACAAAAATCAGCATAGTGAAACTTAACATTGTATGGGACATTACGCATAAAAATGAAAAAAAAAAAAAATGTATTTCATACTTTACTTCAGAACTTCGCAGTTATCTAGATCCATTCGGTGTCTAAAAACTTGCGCCCGTTTTCAGTCTTAAATATAGATATACGAAAAATTAGCTATAGTGGTTCATGTTCTCCAGAACACTTCGCAATTAATTGATCGTTTCACGTTGTTGACTCGGAAAGGACGGCTACGCAATGTACCAAGCGGTCACGTTCAAAGACCCGCCCAGAAGGGCTAAAAGAGAGGTATGAGCCGACATATATGTCCCCTATTAATAGAAGGATTATTCTTTTGGCTAGTTTCATTTGATACAGAAAGAGAGCTTTTATCATTCATACCTGGCATTGTTTATAACAGTGTTTATAGTGTTCAGAAGAGACTCTGTAGTAATTGACTCCTGGTACAAAATCTCTGCCATCCCAAAGTACTTTGCAGCAATGGAGTTGTCAAACTGGTCGCCAAAGAAGGGCACACAAATCATAGGAACACCATGGTAACCTGCCTGCAGCAATCCATTCATTCCAGCGTGTCCGATAAACAAACGAGTCTTCGGATGGCCTAGAATATCGTTCTGTGGCAGCCATGACAAAGCCTTTATGTTCTCGCCAAGAGTTAATTTTTTCCCGTCTGTTGGGGCAAACATAGGATATTAGAAACGGTAGATACAAACGAAAGATTGCAATCTTGTTCCTCGGTTCTTACTTATTTACTGCGCAAGCTTGCCAAACGGGTGACTCTGAGTAGAAGTAAAACCGTAAGTCCGATATTTCCGGACTTCCAATCAAAACTCTTTAGGGTTGTCACTGGTCACGGGGAAGAAAGACTCTGAGTACAAGCTGCTTGTCCTGCTTGGTAATGTTAAGAACACGAATCTTGCAGTTTCCCGCCAGGCATAAATTGCGCGTGCCTTAAAAACGGCTTCCCTTGAGTCTTGTCCTTGACAACGTTTTGTAACTCAGAGTGCGCTCAAAGCTTTTAAAGTTAAGCACTGTTTTCTCCAGATGAAATTGAAATAGAGTTCATAGGATAAACATGAACCAAGGAAGGCAAAAGGTAAATTAAAAAAAGAAATAAGAAAGAAAATACTTCATCTAGGCTGAGAGATAGTTAAGTAAAGTTTCACTGGCTGGGTCTTCCAGAAGGTACCACAAAAGGCAAGTAATTAAATAATTGTTTAAATAGTTAAATAAAAAAAAAAAATAGCGTTGAAATGAAAACAATTTAAGAATTATCGTACCTGTGTTAAGTTTCCAAATAACCCTTTGCGGCAAAGTAGAAAACACATCAGCCATTGTTGAAATTGTCTGATCGCTTATTTCACCAAGGATTGATCCAAAAGACACGAGTATAACTCCTTTGTCACCAGACCCCCTAACAAATTGCTCTAGCTCTTCTGCAAGTGATTCAGCTGGACTTGATAGTAGTGGTCCGACCAGCTTAGTATCTGGCAAGTATAAAAAACACGACACTCTCATGTTAGTGTGGATCAAGCACTTCGGGGAAATTGAAAAATGTTAATGGTATGCATCCGAGTTGATTGACGTCACCACAGACAGCTCGAAGAAGCTTAGATCTGGGTGGTTAAAGATTCCCCTATAAAAAAACTCAACCTTCTTATGCAAAGAGAAAGAGCGCAAGAGGTCGTGCACGGTCGTGTTCCTTCAAGCATAAATCTTATCATCGAGTGACCGATATTTACTTTCTTTTTTTCACAATGAAGCTATTCATTTTTAGAAGATGACTTCAAAGTGAATAAAGTCGACCACGTTAAAAAGGCACTTTTTCCTTTTCGTAGTGTTTCGCATGTTTATTTTACTGCCTAACTCGATGTGTAAATTGATTCACAACCGATCAACATCGATTTGAGCTTATTTTTAAAACTACGGCTACACATGTGTATGCAAACAAATAAGTTCGTCTGTGTTTCCATGTTCTAGTCTGTTATTTTGTACTTGGTAATGTTCACCTCTGAAAATTATATTAAAAGAGTTATTCGCCGGAGTGTGCATTGACGAATATTTTAACTCTTCGACTTCGTCTCGGTAAACATTCACTTCAATGTTCACTTCGCATTCGGCGAAAAAATGTTAAATAATGATATAAAAACTATATAATTTCAGTAAACAATACTAGATGCAGAGGATTGCCCCCTTAACATTTCTGGCATGGCAGGTAACTGGTATACAAGTGATCAGACGACGTTTACGCTTAGCAGGTGATATCATAAGTGATACGGACTTCAGCGGGTCCACCTGAATCAAACCAGTCTGAAAAAATTGACAAATGGCTGAAACTAATAACCAATTCCTATTAATATATGAAGGATAACCCACGTCATCCACAACACAAGAAGTAAATTTGATAAGAAAAGAACAAAAACAGGGAAAAGAGACCCGTGGGGAACTCCCATATAAAAAGGAAGGGGTGCTCGTCGTCGGAAATTGTGAAAAGAAGCCCCAAGAGGTACCAAGATCCTGTTTTGTGGGTGTGGCTTGAGATGTTTCTTACCCCTAAGAAATACCAATTCTAAAACAACACATAGCCTCCTGTCATATGTTTTTTTCGGCTCTGTACCCCTAAAAGAACCACAAAAGCTTCCGCTGTGGACATTTCGAGGCTGGACACCCTAAGAGGCACCAAAACCCCTTTTGAATCCCTAAAAGGTACGCCGAGCTTCCCCGTCCTTTTCATATAGTGTTTCCCCCATCCCTCCCCGCGGGAGAGGGACAAGCCGACATCAAATTGGGAAAAGTTGATTCCCTTTCCTCTCCATTTTTCTCGCTCGCTTTCGTTTCTCAAGCATTTCGAGATAAATTCAAATTTTGGCGAGGTATACGCTTTTTGGGGAGATGAATAGCTGAACATGTTACGGTGTAAAGAAAATAACCTCACGTGACACTTACTTGGCAAATGTGGTCGTGGATAATCGAGGGGATCCGATTGAACAAGAACGATATCAACTTTTTGGAAAGTCTGCTGCAAAGTTTTTTCTGGCGTAATATTATACTTCTCTTTCAGCCCTCCGTAGACGCTATGAAGCGCGTTCGGTGAAGACAAACGACCAAGGAACCACCGAAGGCTATTCCCTGCTCTCTGTAGAAAGTTCATGTCATCGGTCAACCCGGAAAACATCTGGGGTATATAGGACGGGAGATCAGCAAAGTTATACGGTAGGCGAAGTGCTGTACTCAGAGGGCTCATCAAAACTGTAACATGTGGTAAGGAGAATTTATCTGCTACCAGAAACGAGCACAGGTACATGGCGTCCCCAATAATGAGGTCAGCAGTCTTGGCTTCGTTCATGTTGTTATGATGGCCGAGCATTGCATCACAGTAATGATACCAAACTACTTTTAAACCAGCTATAGCGGTGGGATCAACCAGTTTGTTTATTTCTTCTGAACACTCGAATGTTCGAATGTTTGAGTCCTTCAGGGCGTACTTTTCACACTCTCCAACAAAAATCACCACCTGACGAGTAAAAAATGCTCAAGATATTACTAAAGTAATGCAAAAGTGGCGTTCTAGAGCAATGTGCCTCAGTGATCTCAGCAGAAAGAACAAAATGGGACTTTTGAGCTCTTAGCTGGAATACATTAATTGTTACACCTGAGTGGTGCTCCTAGAAATGAATGCCGTTTTTATGTATTTACTGCTCGATCAAAGACCTTTTTGGTACGCTTCGGAGGCATATCAAGCGCGTTTGGTTGAGCTATGGTTCGTACTTTGGCGAGACATAGTCGATCCAAAATACCCATGGCGAAACCAAACGAGCGTGATATGCCGCCGAATCGTACCAAAAAGGTACGATTTGGTATTTACCAAATCCAAATTCGGTTAAGTAAGCATGATATCGTAGCAGGAGCCGTAATCGGGGATGGAGACCGTAAGCGCGCGCCATTTCTAGTATTGGGGCTGTCCCTATGATATGGGACAATTTTTCTATTTTTAGAACAAATTGCGCAATCGTGTGCGGTACACGCGCGTACGTGCTGCGAGGAATTTTTGCGGATGTAGTGCGGGGAAATGGCTGCCGAAATTCCCGAAATGTTTGATGCTTTTGGCCCACAACTCAATACGTTCATGTCTGTCGGAATTTTACTTTGGTATTTTCGTCGTAATCTGCTCAAGTTTGAGTGAAGTAAGACAGTGTCGAATTTAGTTATGTCCCGCTTTATATCACTGACCAAGTTGTGTTGCGCTGCTTCATTTACAAGAGCTCCACATTACTCCACTCTAAGTTTCACATATGTTGAAGATTTACAGCTTTTCCATAACACAGCAAAAAACTAGTTGGATATATTTGGAAATAGCAGAGTTTCAGGACTTCGAAGTTTTCCCTCCTCTTGCCACACGCTTGCAAGCATTTCGCCATAGTCTATCTCGACCGAAAGGTAAAAAAAAAAAAAAAAAAATGCAAGTTTGAGTTTCGCCTGAATTGTAAGCAATGCTTGATGTTTTATAAAGGCCCACTAAGTGACAATAAAGTTATGTCTGTAGATGCTGCTCAGTTTGGTTGTGTAAAAATCCAATAAATTGTCTGTTGTCGATGAATAAGAGCGTCTGCCGATGCGTGTTTTGCACAGCCAGTAAAACATGACAAAATGGACTTCCGCACTTTCGTATGAATACTTACATCGAACTCATATATTATCTCTAGCTTTTAACTATGTTTAAAGTTGATAAATGTTTGAGAACATATTACAAGCTTGGCTGAAAATATGTCAATACAGCAGAAATAATCAGGAAAATTACGATGACGCTTTCTTTAATCAACTCGAATAACGATTTCGATCGATTTTGTTGGTTGAGTTATCAAAGGTCCTTCAGTCCTTGTCTATTTTAGTTTCGCAGTGTAAAATTTCACTATGTTAAAGAAACACACATGATGTTAGCAGCCTTTTGGCGTTGGTGAAAATTGTTGCAGCACCTCAGCTCAAAACACAACGAAAGAAATCTTTGTCAAGATTTGTTGACAATTGAAAACACCGACTCGGAATTGAAAGTGCACGCCTGCACTATGCAAATGAGCTACTTATGTACGCGTCAGACTTTCCTTTCAAAAACTTTTGCAAACTCGCCAAACAAGCAGAAACAATAAGAAACTATCAAAAACAGGGTTTGGTTACGATTAGGCATTGTTTGGGAAACTCACAAATTAACTCGATACCAGAGTAAAGAGTGTTTTTTACATAACTTTCCTCCACAGAACAAACGCAAAATCTTACTCGTACAACTAGCGCGAGCAGATATTATTCATTCAGGGCGAGAAATTGAAGTCTTGTTTTCGACCCTGAAAAATTCACCTTTTCCATTAGGTTAGAGCATAAAGCTACATATAAGAACCCTGGTTCTTATTCCCTGCCTTATTCCCCGCCATCGCTGTGAAAAATCTGCAAGAGAATCTCGCCTCTCTCACCATTTGATCAGGCAACGTGACAACATCCACGCGAGAGCCCCCGACATGTGCGTGGATCCGCGCGGATATATGACGTCAGGATGGCGGTCTCCGTTCCCGATTATGGCTCCTGATCGTAGCCATATCAGGTCAGTGACTTGATATCGCAGGATATCTGGACGGCAAACACGGCTTCTGATTGGCTAACCGTGAATAACGGTACGGTTATCAAGATTACCGTACCCAAGTTTACATGTCAGCCTTTGGTATCATTGGAAACGGGTTTCATGGTAGAGACTGTCATACCAGCAGATGTAATTAACAAAGACACTTTTCGCCAATAAACACATAACTAATGTTTCTAGACTTCCAGAGGTTATGCATATGTGTACTCTACGTCCCTGTGACTTAACATTTCAGTTTGGTCAGTTTGGTCCAAAAGGTAACGTTTGTGCTTTTGGGTTTTATGAAAGGTAACTTCATGATCAATATTTATCTAACATTTAAGAAACAAAGGGAAGAATCAAGAGAAGTAATCGAACTAGAAACAGCCAGGATATCTGCTAACAAACATTGATTTTGTTGTTTATGGTTAAAAGAACTCTTTGTTTCACCAGCCAATAGATCTCTGGTTGGCATATAAAAAACAGCAGGTGACGTCACTGATATCTTTGCTATACCATTTCTGGCGTGACATAAGGCTGCATTAGATTTCGAATTTGGCGAAAACCGGACAACACACTTCTGCAGACAGGTTTTTACGAGGCTTGGACCTCTAAGAAGGATGAAGAGAGCAACTAACCCTCTTAAGCGAAAATTTTGGCTCCTATTCGTCGTTGTTTCGTCATTGTCCCTTATGCAAACACACATGCCAAGTTTTGTACCCGTCCACACTACGCTGGAGAAATTTGAAACCGCAGCTTTATTTCTACAGTTAGGCCAAGCATCCACACTAATCCGTCACTAAAACGGAGCTTTTCGAAAGTTCTTGAAAAAGCCGGATTTTCGTTTTCGGGTGGAAGAAAAACGGAGCTTTTCGAAAACGTGACTATAATCATATGATCTCCCTGAGTTTTCGTCAAACGCAAGACCAAAATGACCCGTAATTGTTGGTTGTTAAATTCCTCCGGCGTAGTATTTGTCTCGCAGCTCGCACGTCACGCTCAGAGTGCGTGACGCTCGCAAGCTTACTTGTTTTGCGTTCTTCCCCACGGATTTTCAAGGAAAAGAGAGACTGCTCACAGTCTATCTGTATTCAATTCCTCCGGCGTAGTGTGGACGGGGTCTGATCAGTTTTATGTTTCTTTTACTTCGCGGCACGTCTGTACATGTATGTATACGTAATGTAATCGTGGAGTTTCGTAAAGGATTATCCATTACGTCAATTTTGTAGGCACGTTTAGTTGTAGAGCGATCGTTGCTGGCTCTTCGAACGTCATATTGATGGCGAAATAAGCTTTCAAATACATGTACTGTAAAGTTTCTGAGTGGCAAAAGCAATAATGAGTTTATATGGTAATTCTTTGAAAAAATTTGAGTTTTTATACCCGCGCCGCACTTAGGCTGAAATTCCTTGACAACGTTAATCGTGCTATGCCCTGTCAATATTCGAACAACTTTTTTGTAGGTAGATCAGAAACTGAAGCGCTTGTGCAAATGCAACAAATATTGTAAACAAAGATTCAGAAGATTCTCCTTTTCAGTGGCACGGGTCCCCCTCGCACGGGTCCACCCGTTACAGTAAGCGGGCACCTCTATTACGCGGTCAGCAAAGTTCTGGAATTGTTCTCAGTAAAATAGTATAAAGAAAATCCCTATTAACCGGCCACCAGTGATAAGAATATTCAAACACCCGTTTATTATTTTCTTCATGTGATTCCACGTCTGCATTTAAATAAACTGACGTTTCTTCTAAGCTGACGAAACCCTATCAAGGGCCAAACCCCATTAAGACTATTTTAAGGGCCACCTCCTTGGCCGCTTAAATAGGGGTTCGACTCAGTGTATATACCAAATAGAAACGTGCTGAGTACCACAAGGTATTAAACTGTACCGCAAATTTCAATCTTACGAAAAAAAAAA